TTCTTCAGTTTGTTTGTATTTTTGTTAACAAACATAATAATAAAAAATGTCATTGTGGTAAATGAAATAATAATTAGATCTACGTAAGTTTTTTTCCCCTTCCTGATTTGTAAAAAATGAATATTGTTTTCAAAATCTGTATAGCTGACTCATGGAAAATCCATTATTAAAACCAAAACAACTTTTATGAAGTTTAAATTTGCAGGCCTGTGTTATTGTAGAAGTTTAGAAGAAACAAAACTTGTATAGTAAGAATATCTTAATTTGACCCCCTGTGACTCAGCAATAATTCTGAAGGCTTACAATGCTAAAAAAGTGTATTCTAGTGATCTTTCACTCATCAACAAAGCCCATTAAGTAACTTAGTGTTTAAAAACAATGTCTTAATTACTTCAAGATTATTAATATAAGCACATTTCATCTGGTCTTTAGTACTTCATGCTGAAGACACTCATCTAAGCTGTTTTAGATTTTTCATAGAAAAAGTTTTGATTGTTTCAATTACTTCCCAAGAGCAACAATAGGGTCAATACTAAGAATTTGTTTCTGTTTTCGATTTTGAATTTTTTTTTTAAACAACAAATACTTATAATTATTAAAAAATAGTTGGACAAAGAAAGTGTTTAAAAAATCCAAATATAGTTAGAAAAAAAGTTTTCAAATTAATTTTTTACTATTTGTTTTCATACATTGTACATACATTTCATACATTACTGAGATTATGAGAACTCCAAAAGAAATAAAAGCTACTATTCTGTTAAATATTACACCACAAATTCTATATTAATGTTACCTGTGATCCCCATCATGTCTAGGGCTGGATCACCACTCATTAGGTTTGGATTTGTGAAATCTCGGCTCTTGTCATTGTTGTATTTCACATTTAAATTGGTCAGCTTGGAGTACTCTATTCTGAGTGTGCAGCATGCATTATAGATATTCTGTCCATTAAGACTCTGTTAAAGTTTAATAATAGAAAATTGAAGATAATTTACATAATTAAAACTATTAGTTAACAACCAAACAGCTACTCTAGACTTCCAATGTTAATAAATACGAAGCACTTAAGAAATTTAGTTTATGTGGTCATTTGAAATATTTTTATTTGGATAAAAAACTAAATTATAGCATGTACATCTGACATTCTACAGATAAAAAAAAAAAAAGAATCTGACAAAAATTCTTCAATTATAATTACAAAAGCAAATGAAAAAAAAACCTAATGAATTTTCTATTTAAATTGAATAAATATTTTTAACACCCAGATATATTCATAATCATACAACTTCTCATATCGTAGGAAAATTAAGATATTTAAGTCGGGAGAAATATATGACAACTATTTTCACCATGCTATGAATAAAGAAATAAATTAACAAAACTCAGGTTTAGATAATCTTAATGAAAGGGACAAACACATTAAGATAGTTGACATCTTATTTATATAATGCTAAATAAGTCACCAACTTATATTAGCGAAATCACAGCCAAGAGAACGGGCTTTGAAAAGCCCGTTCCGTTGTTTTTCCACGTCTGTTTGATCAGATACAGTTTGATAAATAGAACGACCAAGCTGAAATTTTATTTTTCACAAGTTCTTTAGATTTAGACATTGTTTGGGAATTGCATATAAAAATATATGTATATTTTTTAATAACAAATCATTTTAGTATAGAATACTGCATTTATATAAACAAAAATCAAAACAGAAATTGTAAAGTAAGTATTTACAGTTCTGACAAAATTATTCAGGTAATACATCAAATTACTACACAGCTACAAACATTATGTTTGAAGGTAAAAGTAGTTTGATTAATTAAAGTTAAACCTAAAAAAAATTCTAATTCTAATTTACACTAAATGACCCAAAACAAGTAGGGTCTTTTTACAAGACACCCCTCTTACTAAACACAGTAGAGATGTTCTTCAGATGACTTTATAAAAGGAAAAGCTCATCTACACAAGGCTTATAGTCATTTAGGTTATTAGAATAAAGCAAGTAATGCAGACAACATGCTATCAAGATGACTACATTAACTAAGAAAACAGCAGAAATGTTATTAAACACAGAAGAAAGAAACAAATTTGCAAAAACTTTATCTAATAACTTGGTATTTCTTCTAGAAATACATTCCACACAAGAGTAAAAATCTGGCCTCACTTTGACTGAATAGATCATATTTAATTTAGTATAAACAAGTTTTTGCTGAGATTCTTGGAATACTTTTGTTCTGTTCTCTACAGACAAAAGTTAGTCAGAGGTAGTAGTACTACAACTGACATTTTTCCAAATGCATTTAAATCCTCTAACTCACACTGTGCTTAAGAGCAAACTTATCTACACGTTACATATGAAAAACAAGTAATAACCACATGATCTTGATGAAGGGGGGACACTCCTTCCTTAAACTGGGAAATTTCAAAGACATGATTAATTTATTTTAGTGCTTTCTATGTTATATCCTGCTAGTGTTAAACTGGTATTTGTAGTTCCTAAAAAATATGATTATATAGTGCACCAAACTGTTACACAACTACAACGAGGGGTGAAATTCCCCAAACTCACTAACATGTGGCACATTTAAGAATAGAATAAGCCTCATTCTTTTTTTTTTAATAACCACAAATAAACAAAACTTGGTAACAAAACAAATTACAACAAAGAACTCTGTACAGCCTAACAGTCCATGGTTTTATCTATATCCATTTCCAGATCTAATGAAGGAATATTTTAAATTCTAATATTGATAACAAAACTCCTGAGGTTAAATATAACCTTCAACTAAGTCCTAACTACATTAAATCCTTGTAGAAGTGAAATGAAATTATAGCCATAGGTTACATATTATTCATTTAAATATCGAAACCTAATTTCTTTGGAAATTATCTCATAATATTCAAGCCCTAACCAGCATATCTGATTTACAGCTACTTTCACACAAAGTCTAAATGATGGAGTTTATATTTATTTAATAAACAATTTATAAAACTTTTATTGTAGATACGAGTTTCGAATTTTAGACTCGTATATAAAACATAATTATACCTTCTTTGCTACAAAATAATAAAAACACTAAGTCATTAGATAAGATTTTTTTGACATTACAACATAGAAATAAGATATTATTATGCTAAACATTAAAGTGACCATAGAAAAAAAAAACTGTGACCTTTGCAATGAGCTTAGGTGACTCTACATTTTATTACCTTGAAGAATAGACGTAAAGCAATGTACATGCAAAATTTACAGGTTATTTTTGAAAGATTTTTTTTTATGTCTGGTTATTAACCTCTTCACAAGCTTTCTCAACTTTACACTATTGAGTGATACCTCTGTAAAGATTCTAAGAAACACATTTTATAATAAGG